AGCTGGTGTTCGGTTGTAACCCCCGGATCCCTCGGGCCCTCCTCAGCGATGACGCCATGGATCTCGTTGGTTGTGAGGATGTGCTCCGGGAGGGTCCCGACGGGGACTCCGCGGCGGCAGAGTTTGCTCGTCGCCATCGGGTTCGGGAAGAAGCCAGGAGAGCTCTCGCCTCGATGGACGCTCGGTCTCGCCTCTCTGAAGCCTCGCGAGGCCGGCTACACTCAGATAAGGTGTTTAAGCCCGGCGAGTGGGTGTACGTGTGGAGACGCGTCACCGCCACGAACCGCTCTCACAATTTGCAGCGTGATCGTTGGACGGGCCCGGGAGTTGTGGTGCATCAGACCGGCAGCACGGTCTGGGTCGCCATGCGGACTCGGCTTTTAAAGTGTTCCGAGGAGCAGGTCAGGCCCGCGACCCGTCAGGAGGCCCTAGGGGCCGAGCTTTTGGACACGGAAAGGTTTGACGCTCTGCGGGAGCAGGTCAGGGCCCCGGGGAGGCGCATCGGTGCGGTGGACGTGGCCTCAGAGGGCCCTCCGCCTCAAGAGGCCCATCGGGCCGAGCAGGGGGGCCAGCTTCAACCATCACCGGCCACGAGGAACCTGGATCCTGCCGTGACCGCTCCGCCGGCCCCCCCGATGTCGCCAGTTGCTCCTAGATTGGCTCCCGTGCCCAGTGAGGCTGACACCGAATTTCCCCTCCCCGCCAGTTCCATCGGTCGCGTGACGTCTGAGGCGTCCGGGTCTGCCGCTCTCGGCGGAGTTCCGCCTGCTGGCAGTGCAGAGCTTGCTCTCGCTCCGGGCTCGGAGCCGCCGGTCTTGCGTGGTGCTGAGGCTCGGAGGTCGGAGCAGCCTGGTGAGCGACGAGTGGCTCCCAGGCTCACGCCTGCCGAGGACATCGGGGGAGGGCCTCGCGTTGCCAGGATGGTCCTCGAGCGAGAGTCAGGGCTTTCCGGGGGCACGGCTCCGGGTCCTCATGGGCCTACCCCAGTCGGAGGCCGAGTGCGCCCTCTGTGTCGAGACGTCTCGCTTCCCCGGGCTTCCAGGGTTTCGTCCGCCGCCCCGGCGGCTTCGGCCCCCCAAGTGCTGGAGGGTCCCATGGGGGCCAGAGCTCGGTCTAGGACCCCGGAGGGTCGAGCTGCCGACCGGGCCCCAGAGGCCCCCAGCTGGGCCACCTTGGAAGGCGACGGGGACGACTGGCAAGACGAGGCCCTCCTGCAGGAGCTGTTTGAATGGGCTGGTTTCACGGAGACAACCTTCTCTGGCCTTGCACACGCGGGGCCCCCAGTGAAGCCTCGTGGAGCCGAGGTGGTCTGGAAGCACCTCTCCCCCTCCGAGCGCCAGCAGTTTCTCGTGTCGGATAAGTCCGAGTGGGAGGCCATCCTCGGGTCCGGGGCCGTGCGTGTTCTTTCCGCCGAAGAATCTCGGCTGGCGAGGAGGAGGTTTCCTGACCGGATTCTTTCGTCCAGAATGGTTCGGCGGCTAAAGCCGCAAGAGGGGGTGGGAGCGGCCCCCAAGGCCAAGAGCCGCTGGTGTGTTCACGGGCACCAGGACCCAGGTGGTGGGTCTCTTGCCGTATATGCCCCGACCCCCCAATCGGAAAGCATTATGGTGACTTTCCAGATTGTCGCGTCCATGGGGTGGCGTTTGCACGTTGCGGACGCCAAAAATGCTTTCTGCCAGTCGGATCGTCTTCGCAGGCCCAATGGGGCCATCTTCGTGGAGCCCTGTCAGGGGCTTAGTATCCCCTCGGAGCAGCTCATCGAACTCGTGGCCCCAGTATACGGTCTTAACGATGCGCCATTGCTGTGGCATCGCACTCTGACTGAATGGTTGGGCAGCCAAGGTTTCACCAAGTCGCTGCTGGAGCCTTGTTTGTGGGTCAAGCGCGGGAAGCTTGACCGGCTCGAGGCCCTAGTTTTAATTGAGGTGGATGATCTCATCGTCTCGGGTCGGGATGACGTGATGGGACCTTTGAGGGACGCTCTGTGTAAGCGCTTTTGCTCTGGCAAGTGGAAGGAGAGCGAGTCTGAGTATGCGGGGCGGAGGGTCGTGCAGCACGCCGACCGCATTACGGTTGATCAGGAGAAGTACATACGTGAGCAACTGAGCCAGATGCATCTAGATCGAGAGAGGCGAGCCAGCCCTGAGCTGCCCCTCTCAAAAGATGAGATTTCATCCTATCGTACTGTTGCTGCTCAGGTGCAGTGGTTGGCGCACGAGAGCCGCCCGGACGTGGCCGGTAGTGCTTCCCTCTTAGCCGCTGCCCTCCCCTCTCCCCTGATCTCCGATGCTCTCGTTCTGACCAAAGTGGTTAAGTTTCTCAAGGGGTCGTGTGAGCAAAAGCTTACCCTCTGGTCCCTGGATCCGGTTTCCCTCACCTTCGTCACGGCGAGCGGTTCGGGGGGCCCGGGAACTGCTCGGCGAGGTGGAGCCCAGGGAGCGTGGATCGTCATGGCTGCCGATGGCAGCATTCGTCAGAACAAACGGTCAAGGGTTAGTGTGCTGTCTTGGCGCTCCCAGAGGATAAAGAGAGCCGTCGCTAGCACGGTGGCTGCGGAGACGTTGGCCCTGTCCGCCGCCACCGCCGAGGCTCAATGGTTGCAAGTTTTGTTCAGGGACGCTGTTTTTAATGACGTTTCGAGGCCCGACTGGTTTAATGGACAGGCCCCTTTCACGGTCGTGCTGTCCAAGGACTGTCAGCTCAGCGAGGCCGCCTCCTGTCTTTCTGTCGTGGACGCGAAGTCGGTGTTCGACACCCTCTCTCGCAACTCAGCGGGCTCGAGGGCTGACAGGAGAAACGCCATCGAACTTGCTGTGATTCGAGATGCTTTGTGCTCGATAGGGTCACAAGTGCGGTGGATGCCCCACGCTAGGATGCCCGCCGATCCTCTCACGAAGATGGACCCTTCCCGTGGTAACCTTGCGTTGCATGATTTGCTTTGCAGAGGAACCCTGTCCCTAGTGGACGAACACGGTCATTTGACGGAGAGGGCCCTCAACGAGGCCCTAAAGAGCAGGTCCCGCGGGGCCAGTAGGCGCGCCCTCGAGCTAGCAGCTAAGGTCGAGTCCCCGAAGATCGAGTCAGCTGAGGTGAGGAGGGGCCCAGGGCTCCACGAGGTAGAGGAGGAAGAGGAGGAGGAGGAGGTAGAGGAGGAGGTGGAGGAGCGCCCAGGAGGAGACAGGAACACGAGTGAGGTGAGGGGCGGAGGAGGAGAAGGAGGAGGAGGAGGAGGAGGAGGAGGAGGAGGCCCAGCGCGCGGGCGACCGCAGACACCCGCGCGCCAGATCCCGGCCTACGTCAGCATGGAGGCCGGAGCGCCCGGCATGGAGGCCGGGGCGCCCAGCCGCCTGGCGGGAGCGAGCCTCGAGCTCGCTAAACCCGCCAAAGTTTGGCCCGCTGTCCCCCTCGGGCCCCGGGGTCCGGGTCCCGGAGGTCCGTGGGGTCCCGGTGACCCTCTGGCCCTCGAGGGCCCCCGGTCCCTTTTCCTCTCGACCTCTCCTCCCCCACTCTTCGGGTTTAGCCATGGGTAGGGCTCGGACTCCTTCCGTAGCCCTTTGGGCTTAGGCTGCGCGCCTGGTGCTTGACAAAACGTACTCTCCCCCCTTCGCCCCCTTTCCACACTTCCCACCGTGCTTCCAGCTTGGGACAGAAGCACCCCTGCTTCTTAGAAGGTGCGGGCCTGGCCTAAAGATGTAGCGCCTTCCAAGAAGCAGCTTCCTTCTAAGAAGCCCCCCCCCCTCTCCCTACCCCCTTGTGCGTGCAGCCACGTTAAGCCCCTGCATTCTTGGAAGGCCCCCCCGCCTTTTTGGGAGCCCCCGCCCTTTCGCCACCCGACTGTGCCAGAAGGGCGCAGGGGGCTTCTGAGAGGCCTTCTTGGAAGACAGGAAGGCTGCTGTCAAGCCCCTGCATGCATGGAAGCCCCCCCGCCTTTTTGGGCCCCCCCCTCTCGCCACCCCGCTTGTGGGCGCCGCCAAGAAGCGGCCCGATCGCGGGGTTCATGCTCCAGCCCTCTTCGCAAGGGGAAGACAGGATATGCAGCGTTCACGCGCTAGCTGTAGCCATCTGTAGCCCCCCCCTCCTCGCGGCGGGGAGGAGGAGGAGGAGGAGGAGGAGGAGGAGGAGGAGGAGGAGGTGGAGGTGGGATGGCTGCGTCGGACAGACCCCGAGGCCACCAGCAACCAGCAATCAGGTGGAGGTAGATGGAGGTGGAGGTGGGGGGAGGGATGATAGGGGAGGCGGCACGAGATCACAGGAGGGAGCAGGAGGTGCAGGTGGAGGTGAAGGTGGAGGTTGAGGTGGAGGTGGAGGTGGAGGGAGGGAGGAGGTAGAGGTGGAAGAGGAGGAGGCGGTGGAGGTGGAGGTGGAGGGCGACAGGGGTGGAGGTGGGAGGCGGCACGAGGCCACAGGCTCGCACATCGTGCTCCGGCGGATCCAGCCCGCCGCGCGCACAGCTCGCCGGCAGGACGCCTGGCCGGCGTCCGGGCGGGCCCCGAGGTGGAAGCCGAGCGCCGGCGGCGCACCGCCTCCTCGCCCTCGGCTGCGGCTCCGGCGGCGGCCGCCGGACTGCCGCGTCGCCTGGAGCCGCGTCGCGGACGCAGCTGTGCAGCTGTGCGCACCCTCCCCTTTCCTTTTCTCCTTCCTATCCTCCTCCACCTCTTCCACTCCTCCTTCATCCCCCTGCTTCTCCCCGTATCCATCCTCACCCTCTCTCTCCTCCTCTTCCTCCTCATCCGCTTCCTTTTCCTCCTGCTCCTGCTCCTCCTCCTCCTTCTCCTCCTCCTCCTCCTCCTCCGCCTTTTTCTCCTTCTATTCCCCCTCCTCCTCCTCCTCCTCCTCCTCCTCCTCCTCCTCCTCCTCCTCCTCCTCCTCCTCCTCCTCCTCCTCCTCCTCGGCATCCCTCGTCATCCTCCTCTGCCTTCTCTTCCTCATCGTCGTCATCATGACTCCATCACCCCCCCTCCCTTTCGTCCTCCCCCATCCTCCCCGCGTCGCCGAACCAGGCGGAGCGCCTGGATCTCGAGCGGGGCCCGTGGGAGCAGCTGCCGTCGCTGCACGCGCGCCGCAACAGGCGGGGGCCTGTTCGGCCGTCGGGGACTCTGCCAGCGCGCGGAGGCTTTCGATGTCTGAGGCGTTCGGTGGAGGGGGCGGGGGAGTGAGGAGGAGGAGGGAGGAGGAGGAGGAGGAGGAGGAGGAGGAGGAGGAGGAGGAGGAGGAGGAGAAGGAGGAAGAGGAGGAGGGAGAGGAGGAGGAGGAGGAGTGAGGAGTGAGGAGGAGAGGAGTGAGGAAGTGAGGAGTGAGGAGAGGAGGAGGAGGAGGAGGAGGAGGAGGAGGAGGAGGAGGAGGAGGGAGGAGGAGAGGAGGAGTGAGGAGTGAGGAGTGAGGAGTGAGGAGGAGGAGGAGGAGGAGGAGGAGGAGGAGGAGGAGGAGGAGGAGGAGAAGAGCAGCCCTGCTCGCTCGCCTTCTCTCTCTATGTCTGTCCTCTGTCTATTGCTCCTCCTCTTTTTCTCAGAGCGTTCAGGGACTCGCGAGTGCCTGTGCGCCAGGAGGAGGAGAAGGAGGAGGAGGAGGAGGAAGAGGAGGACGAGGTGGAGATGACGGCACTGGCTGGCGGATGCCGCGCTCCGATGGCGCATGGCGTGCGTAGTAGAGAGGGTGGCCCATACGTAGGGCCCCCGAGAGGCTCGCGGCTGGGGAGGCACGGCGCAGCAAGGGCGGGGCGGTCGTTGAAGCGGCAAGCGGGGGCGCGCGCGCGCGTCGCGCGCGCCCCCGCTTGCACTGGCCACTGAAGCACGCCCGAATGTTTGGAAGGCAACGCAAAACAGAACCGAGAGGCCACATGGGCCTCCAGCCTGACCCACGAAATCTCGGGATCGCCGACAGGCAACTCATTGGGCTTAGGAATCTGGCGGGAAGATGGCTTGCCTCCGTTCGCTGGATGAAGACCTGCCAGAAACAATCTCCCGCTCCGACTAGCACGACTGGAAAGCTGCTCAGGGACGCAATCCATCATTAGGCAGCCAGTCTGGTCTGATGTATAATGTCCACACTAAGTGCACAGAACAATCTGACCCGGCGAAACCTGCAACCCTTGGCCTCGAGCTTGGACGTCACCGATTGGGCCGAACTCTGGGAGTGCGGCGGCTGGCACCGCGATTTGGGCAAGGGTGGGTGTGCCCCTGACTCCAGCGCCTGGCCGTCTCTTCTTCGCGTTCGGGGCCTGAGGCTGCCACTCTGATCACCTCTGAGCTGCCGCGAAGGTTGAAGCAGCCGAGGATAGCATCTGGGAGCCGGCGGACCTCTCACACGCCCACACCACAGGGTCGAAGGCAACTCTTCGCCGAGCCAAGCGTTGCTCAGACACCGAAGAGGAGGGGTGGGGGAGGTCCGCGCGGTCGGCATCCGCGCCTCGCCTGCGCGGGCCAGCCGGCATCCCGGGGCCCCTCGCACGCTGGGTGCCAGGGTCGGGCCTCGGATCCACGGGCACCTTCCGCTATCTTCAGGAGGGGAAAAAATACACAGACACAATTAATCGTCGATCCCTAGGAAAATATAGAAAAATATGGGAAGTGGGGGGGAAGACAACAACCCAGACAAGATTGGAACATATGGGGAATATCTTTCTTTGTGTGTATTTATTTGTGTGTTCTGGGGCCCCTTTATATCTGAGAGAGGGCAGGAGAGGGCGTCAAGGAGCAGAGCCTCCACTCACCCCTTCAGCGCTCAAGGCCGCAGCCTCGTCGCGCGAGGCACCCCCAAACCAGCCCTCGGAGGCCGGTCAGCTTCAAGTAGGCTTACCAGCCATGGCGCGGGTAGGGCAGGGGAGCAAGACATGTGGATCATGAGTCTCGTCAACCTTCGCTCCCTTCATACACAACATGCATCGCCGAATGCTTCGAGTCCGCTCTTGATTAAAAGCATGTCAGAGCTGCTAACGCTGTCCGGGAGGTGCTGGGACTTGGGCCGGGGCCGGTTTCGATGCGTTCCTCTTCCTGGGGATGTTGCGGCACTTGCTTGTTTCCCCGTGCTTCGCATGGCAAGAACCATCCGCTTCAAACGATCGACGAGGCTACGATGGGAAATCTTCATAGCTTTGAGAGCGGACTTCGGGGCAGCATGACGTCCAGAAGCATGCCACCCGTGGGCCCTCCAACATACTGCCGCGGTGTGCTGCTGTGATTCCCCAATCAGAGCTTGCCTCTGCAGGGGTCCTGGCGGATTAAAGGTTTAGGTGAGAGGTGCGGCCGATTTCGGTGGCCGGGCCCGGGTGCCCGGCGGTGCCCGGGTGCCCGGGTGGTCGGTGAGGTGCGTGGCCGATTTCGGTGGCTGGGCCCAGGTGCCCGGGTGCCCGGGGCGCCCAATAGCCCAATAGCATGTAGCCCAATAGCCCTATAGCCCTATAGCCCTATAGTTTTGTAGCCCCATAGCCCTATCGCCCTATAGCCCGATAGCCCGATAGCCCCAGAGCCTTATAGCCCTATATAGCCCTATAGCTCCACAGCCTTATGACCCTATAGCATTATAGCCCAATAGCCCTACAGCCCTATAGCCTCATAACCTTATAGCTTGATAAGCTTTATAGCCCTACAGCCCCATAGCCCCAACAAAAATCTGGTTGGGGTTTTTCTCCGGTGTCATATATTTATACATACATCTGTGCATACATCGTATATCTTTCTCCATCTGCTCTGGCCATGCGCGCTGAAGGGCGCCGCTGGGCGGTGGGCGATCGCGAAATAACAGGCCCCAGCGGTGCACGGGAGCAGCCCGCGCCCAGACCTGAGGGCCAGTTGCAGTGCTGCCTTACAAGCGCGTTGCAATCCAGGACGAGGCGCTGGCTCCAGGCGCGCGCCTTGCCCGCCGCGGCACTGACCCCACCTCGCCCACGAGCTGCGGCGGCGCGCCGTGTGCTCCGAGCCCCTGGCTCATTGCCGATCGTGGCGCCTGCTCTGCAAATGCAGAAATTGCTGGGGCAGCTCTCCTGGTCATCTCGAAACGGTGAGCTCGCCGAGCAGCGAGATGGACTCGAGACCGAATCCGGATGGATCGTAGACCTCTTCCAGACCCAACTTCGCTCCCCCGGACCCCTGGGGCGCCGCAGTAAGATATCCCAGAGGGGCCCATTTTTGGAGCACATACTCCGACCAAGCTGAGGACAGGCAGAGGTTATGTTTAGATTGTTCCTGGCGGCGGGGGGGGCCAACTCCACTGGGCAACCAGCCTACAGTGCCGTTTTTAATACATGTTCCGCGAGCGGATCATGTATTAAAAATGCAGGGATCTAGTATTGAAAACAACGATGAGTTCATGCAGACATTTAGTCATACATTCGTCATGTATTTAGAATCCTATGTTTTTAAAGATCCTATGTATTAAAACCTGCCCTGTAAGCACCTTAGGGGGCCTTGCGAGCAACGTACAGTGGCCGTGATAGATGCGGTGATGTCGTCAGCGCAAAGGTCGATCGCGCGCGGGGCGTGGCTGGCGCGCTGAATGAGTTCGTCGAACGGCGACAACATGACACACTGCAGGGCAAACGCGGCAAACGCACACACACACACACACACTCACACATTTGAAGAACACCCCTCAGAGCCCAGACCTGCGTGGAATAGCAGTTACCCCAAGAGGGCCTCCTCGAGCTCATGCACATGCGAGTTGCAAGCACCAACACTGTCCAGGAAAGCCATGAACACTAGCAGTTCGCGGTAATTTTAGCCAACTAGCTGTTTCGAAGCATTTCTCAATGCCGGCGATGGCGTGGGCGTTGGTTGTAGCATCAGGGCCTTCACAGCCGCCTCTAAGATTCTGGATGCAACATCGGTCGTAGATGTTTGCATGCCAAGAGCCAAGAGCTAGGTGGGGACTGCCAAGTTTCGATGCCCAAGCTCTCACCCATGATGTCCAAGCCTTGGTCCAAACTTGATGCATGGATGGTAGAAGCGCCATCGGAAGATGCCCTCCTTCTGGCGTAGCTAGTTCGAGGATGTACACATGCGATACCACCTTTGACCATGCCCCAACACCTTTCGCACGTAAGGCACATGACCGAGTGCAGCCATCGCCCCGTTCGAGGCAAGAGCCCAGTCACGGGGCCGAACCTTGTCTGCGCCAGCTGCCGTGCGACGCGGAAGCTGAGACACCGTCTGCTGGTGGTCGGCAATGTTGAGCGGAGGAAGGCGTGGTCCACGAGTGAGTGCAGAGGTGCTGCGTCCCGCCAAGAAGATTACCCCCATCGACTTCCCCACGAACCCCACTTGTCATCAACTCCTCCCCAGATCTTGGCCCAACCACCCCGTTGCACCTGAGCCATGTCCCCTGGCATACTGGAGTAGAGGGCCCCAAGGCCGTGATAACTTGCGATCTATCCCACCCCCTCGGCTTAGACCACCTGTGATTGACCCGAGGTTGGCTCCCCATGCTCGATCGCAGCCGCGCCGCACATGGTGTAGACCGCGACGTTCCAAGCCCGCGCTCCTCAACTGCTGCAAGCCGACAGGTTGTCTCCAACGAAGCGGAGCCTGCGCACGCGCGCGCGTCCTTTCCCCTTACAATGAGCAACCTGAGCATCACAAACGCGCATCTACTATGTACGAGTAAGTCGAAGGGAGGGAAAGGATGAGGAGAATGTGAATCTATAGGCGGGGATATAAGGACTAGGAGGAGGAGGAGGAAGAAGAAGAAGAAAAAGAAGAAGAAGAGGAGGAGGAGGAGGAGCCGCAGAGCAAATCCAAGATGTCTCAGCTATGCTGGAATACGCCCACTCGCCCCGAGTCCCCGTCCCGGGATCTCCCACAATAATTCTGTTTCACTGCGGGACCTGCCCCCTGGACAGACGATCGCCCCATGGACCTGCAGTTCAGGCGAAAGCGTTGATCGGTAAACTAAGCTGCAAATCATGCTTCTAGCTGGAAGGGTGGCCATAAGGTAAGATCATAAGGGCCAGAGATGTGTCCAGCGAGAGCTTGGGTTCGGAATAGAAGCGCTGTCGATTCATGCAAGCGTTCTCCAATGTGAAAGATTGGAACAACAATCCCTAGGACATCGCAAGCGGGAGCCCCGACTCAAAAA